GATCTCAATTGTACAGTATACCGTTCGACGGAATTCTACCGTAGATCAACGAATCAGAATTCACTCATTTACCACCGAAACACGAAACCCAGCAGATGAGATAAAAATTCCTAAGGAAAACTAAAAAGAGGAAAAAAGAACTTGTGATTAAACGGCAATATTGATCGGCAAAAAAAATTCAGTTCGTCTACATGTTATCAGGCGATCTCGAACGACAGCGAAACTTTATCAACGAGCCTCTCAGTTCTCCCAAATCATCACGTTCCTCCGGCGCCCACTTGACGCGCGCGCGAACTTCAAAAGAGCAATATTTTGCCGGGCTCGTGGGCGCGTACGATCATCAGAAATAGATAAGTTCAATGTTTTCACATGGGAAACGGCCACGGTGTGCGGCCACACTTGTCGATCTGTCACCGTTCGTCCAGGACAGTCAACCGGCGTTGTCAACCCCTTACAGGGGGCCGCCACCCCCCAGGGTCGTGCACTTGACTGGTGGTAGGCCAGAACGCAGCCGAAAAGGCGCAGCCAACATCGAAGGTAACGCGAAGTAACGCGCCACGAACCCTCTGCCAGCTATTCCGGCTGCTGGCTCGCGCACGAACAATATTTGCAGAGCTCTTATTCCCGCACTTCCCAACCCCGTAAGCGCCGCTTCAACCATGCCCTTCCCCCCTTGCTCTGCCGTGTACGCGCTCCACCAAGCCCCCGTTACACTCTTGCCACCCCTCGTGTGCACCAGCAACCACCTACCTACCTACCTAATAATGATTTTACGTTACGCCATGCCGGTCCCCTGGGAATCCGACGGTGCCGCACCCTTATTGCACATGGCCCGTGCTCACGACGAAGGGAAATACAGTGGAAGAGGGGGGCAAGGGGGCTGCTGGAAAGAGAGGACTGATTATCATTAGCAGCAGAGTCCCAGAACACCCTCGGTTTACTGCTTGACGCACGTACGCACGCCACCTCGAGGTCAGCACCGTGAGGGATTTCGTTTGATGGGACGGAGGGGGGTGGGACACGGTCGATGATCGAGGATTTTAATTGAACGTTCGAAGGAAAATCTGGGAACCGATTGTACGGACGGTGATGTTCAAGTTGGTGAGATTTGCTCGACGATTGAAATCTCGAAGGATGGTTCAAGTGTTGATGAGGAATGCTAGTGGGTACGTTGAAGAGTTGCTGATTTTATGGAGTTTTTAAGTTGATTTAAGAGGCTCGTTCTTTTGTAGTGGGTTACGATAGATGGACGCTACCGGAGTATACGTTTAATATTTGTAGTTTGATAATTAGTGGACTGCGGATGTTATTGCAATTATACCAATCCAGACTATTCTGCCGTTCAGTCGAATGCGACTATGTATTCCAAACGGCTTAAGAAGATGAGAAAAAAAATTCGAAGAAAAGAGGCTATTGCGATGTCCAAGGGAAAATTGCCAACGCCGTCAGGTCTTTCGTCCAACTTGAATTTTTCATCCCCTTGAATAATGAATTAAATGTTCCGTGGCGACCCTCGAGGAGTTGGTGCGTGAAGGTGGACAACGTGGGCGCGTAGACAACGGACAGAGGTCCCATAGGTTGTTAGAAACCTACAGAGGAAGTGACCATCGCTTTGTATCCTCTTTCGCCGGGTCCTTCTTCGGTTGTTTCACCGAAACGAGGGTGAATGAGAGTGAGAGGCAGTCGGAGCGACAAGGAGGAGATGGAGGAGGAGGAGCATGGGGGAGGACAAGGTGATAATTTGATAAGACATTGGGAGGGTTACCATGGAGACGATACAAAACCCAGACCCCCGACTGGAACACTCCTTCGGATGTTCCTCTAGCCTGCTTCCACCCTTGGAAGAAGCTAGTGCTCCTTCAGGAGCGTCGCTCCATCAGCCGTGAGACACCTAAGTGTCAAGTGTCCCAACGCCATCGCCTACTCACCTAAGGGATGCTTCCCTTGCACGGGCTGGTCTTCAACCTTCGACGAAGATACGAGCTATCGAAGGCAAACACGGGAAAGAGGTGGGGAAAAAGGGGGATTTCCCTGATTCGACGTTAAGCGAATTCTGAAATTTCGCCTTGAGAAATTTTCAATTAAAATCTCAGACTACGAGGAGAGGAATGTAGAATCCTGAGAACTCGGGAATCTAGAATGCTAAGAAATTTAGAAATCTAAGAATGAAGAGAAGAAGCGTAATTGGAAAATTTCCTTTAGACAGAGGGGATCGAATTGAGAGTTTCTATCGACGATACTTCTACGGAGAGGAAGAATCTCTGTCCACGTTTCCCACGAACAATTTTCGTCATAGAAAAATTCCATTCGAAGATTGGGGGTCTACTATTCCAGTCCAGGTTGTGAGAGCAAAGAGGAAGATAGAACGATGGGCACCCCGAAAGACATTACGATTATTACCGAGTGAAGCTCGCAATGAGGGGCTCGCCACCCCTAAAATGCACTGGCCACATGTGCCTCGATCCGACTGGATCCTCTTGCTTACGACAAGACTCTGTCCAGACGGTTTACTGCATTATTTATCGTACGAAGTTGCTCTGCTAATTGATCCCTGGCATCCCTGTTGCGATCAGCCGAAACGAGGAATTTCTCGTTTACCATTATGTTCGTCAAAAGTAAATACGATTGTGAATCATTTCACATACGAACAGTTCTTTTAAATCCAAAGAAAGTCACGTCGAAGATTTTAATTAATTAATTCCGTAATTTGTTCTAATAGAAAATTGTAATCCCTTGTACAGAGACTCCGATATTAAACGTTGAAAGTGTCCTCAAATGAGATTTTTCATATTTTACAGCTGGATATTAATTCAAACAATCACTCACCAGTATGAATGTAGGTGTGCTTCTTCATGTCGCTCTTCTGATGGAATCTCTTCCCGCAGAACTGACAGGGATACGGTCTCGTGTCCGAGTGGATTAAAAGATGAGTACTTAAAGTGCTGGAACGTTTGAACGCCTTGCCGCACTGTTTGCACTCGAACACCTTCTCCGCGGAATGCACGGCCCTGTGTTGCGTAAGGCTGATTTCATGGCCGAACGTTTTATTGCACAGCTCGCAGGCGAACGGTCGCTTGCCATTGTGGGATCTCCTTGCGTGCACCTATAAAAACCACATTCACTCTGAAACTTTTTAAAATATTTCACTCAAAGGGGAACGGAGTTCTTTTAAAAACTGTACCAGACAAATGCACCCTGAAGACGTTGATTCACTGGACAAAGTTTTACGAATAATATCCAAATCTAATTTCAATTACACGTTACACGTAACGTCAATTTTTCCTTCTTGTCTTCTCACTGATCAGCGAGGCAAAGTTTCAAAATCTCTTTACATTCTTCTTCAAACTACCGATTCAACTATTCCTCATCTATCCTCGCCAAATTACCGCAATGTCCCTCAATCTTCTCTCGTTCGATTAAACTCACCTCGAGGCCGTGAGGAGTGCTGAACATCTTGTCGCACTTGACGCAGCTGTAGACGTCGCCCAGAGGATGATGATGAAGCCCGTGCGCGGTGTGGGTCGAGTGGAGACCAGGGTGACCCGGGTGAACGCCACGGAGCAACGGGTGCAAGTGTGGAGGTAACAAATGATGAGGAAGCAGCTGAGGATGCAGGTACGACAGAGGATGATGGGGATGAGGTGGTAGCAGACCACCTTGAAGATGCAGTGGTGGATAGAGTATGGAAGAGCCTGGCGGAGGTGGATGTGCACCGATGGACGTTGTATCTCTGTGAGGAGACGCGTTCTGCAGGTGAGCAGACGGTGGATCCGGCCTGAGAAGAGCAGAGACGCTGAAAGTGTCGCCGCATTTCTTCGGTGGATGCGAGATAGGTGACGTCGCGACGCTCGTTGGCGAAGGCGTCGACGATGATCTCGGAGGACTCGACGTTGCATCGCGATCGTCTTCGTCGCCGACTTCCTCGACGTCCACGTCCACTTCCTCTTCCTCTACGTCCACGTCAACGTCGCCGTCTCGACGATCCGACGGTGGAGAGTCTGGACAGGGAGAATGCGACGGAGAGGGACTCCTCGTTGCTGGAGAACCCACCAGACGACCGACTCCAAAGGACAATCGTTCTGAAACGAGAGAAATTACCTGGTCCTTTAGGTGTAACCTTGTATTTAGTAGTTAGAAGGTAGTTAACAAGTGACAGGGAAAAAGGGGTAAGTCACGTATGTGAAAGACGACGTAGGATCACGAGAAAATTCGGTTTCCACCGGCAGGGGAACCTGGGCGAATGAGATTTGAGTCACGTAGCGAGTCCTTTTTTTCTGACTGATACGAGGGGTAGAGGGTTAACGAGACTTCACAGAGAAAAATCGAAGCTTCCTGCGAGTAGTTTCTCTCGATTCGTCTTCCAACGTGAAATTTTATCACGCTGCTGGATTACAAGTACCAGCGAAAATAATCTTAAAGCGAGGAGACGGTAGAGAGAGATCAATCGTTGGACAGATAGACCGATACTCGTGATCACATTCAGATAATCTATCGCGTTGGACGAAACGTAAGGATTTAAATCAGAACAATAGTCGTGTAACGCGTCAACGATCGATCATTATACGACGATAATCAGGTATCGCAGAGCTTGTGTTTCATTGATGAATGTAATCACACGCGATCGAATCAGCGTGTCGATGTTTAATATCGCGTGTATCGTCTGGTATTTCTAATAATCGTGAACGATCTCTAAAGCTGTGATTTACGATGTTCGTCGGTCAAGAGAATCCGGCTGTTCTACGCGAGCTACGAAATTGGGGGGTTCCACGTTTTGCAGCACCCTTCGGACAGAGAGAAAGACGGGGAGGACAATATCAATTCAAGTGCGGTAGCATGCACGATGGTACACCCGGTATATTATATTTATAATCCGTGCGCGTGACACGCGGTCACGTGCCCGGCTATATGATGCACCGGTGTCGGTTAATCGCATTTAAAGCTCTCTCGGCTATCCCCGTTCTGGAAGGGCCGATTATTATCGTGTCTCCTGGTGGCTTTGCAATCGAATCAAAATACGTCAGGAGTCCCGCTAGAGTGGCCTAATGTAATGAGAAACGCCTGTCGCGGCAACGGAGAAAAAAAAAGGAACGGATCACACGATCATGCGGGAAAAGTTAAAATAGGGGATGATTCTTGTCGCCGGTTACTCGTGAAGATGTGGAAGATTACCCTTGAATATTTCATTGCAGATCAAAATCGGACAATAGTTCTACTCGTTGCAAGTGCAATTAAATTCATCCTTTTTGGTATCGATTTAATTCATTTTCAACTTATAATTTCTCTCTATTTCTTTCTATACCGTAAATAGATTTTAATTCTCTTCGACGCGAAAAATGCACGATAAGCCAGACTTGACAAACAAGAAAATTAAAGTTGCTCCATGATGATAAAAGTGCAATTAAGAGTACCGCGAAATCAATCTAACTACAAAGTAACAGAACGCATTAAAATCTCCCGCAAAACCTAAGGGTACATATCTCAACGGGATACATTGATGGAGGAGAAAGAGAAAAGAAAAGAAAGAGCGGGAGACTGGAAAGAGAGAAGAGGCGAGAGTGGCAATAATCGCGAAAGCAAAAGGTAGAACACGAGTCTGTGGCAAAAGGGAGAAGAAAAAGGTAGAGGAAGTCCGGACAGATGTGACATGAAACAAGATAGGAAGAACTGCTTACGCAAATGCCACGTCTGGCCCTGCTGGAATGCGGTAAAAACCGACGGTGCAAACCGGCGAGAAAAACCGTCACCATCGTGGCAACCGTCCGGCAGATGGGTTACTTTGGTCCGGGTTCGGCAGTGCTTGCATACGCTTGCACCACCGTACACGCGTATTTACGTGAACGTACATCTGGAAGCCGCAGCGGCAGAGCCTCATGGAGGATTCTCTTCACGTTTCCACCAGCAAGCGTTTCTCTATTTGAGACGAGCCTCGAAAAAAATTCCAGAAACGCGGTCCCACCCGGAAATTATTATTTTATGAGAACGACTCTGATCGAAATTTTATAACGCACGAAGGTTGGTATAGAAAAATGAGGAAACTAGGAGAGGTTACACTGCTGGAATTTTAATTCTCCACGTTCACCTGAGGAGAGACACAATACTCTAAATATTCCACCATGGAGTATGATTTTTTTTTCTTGCAGAATAGTATTCGAAATAATTTATCAAACTTACGTTTGAAAGAAAAAATTGAAAAATAGATATATTCTGGAAGTGAAAATTGTGTCACCAGCGGAATTGTTGTTTGAATTATTTCGCAAATTTTATTCGCAAGGAGTTCAATCCTTGTTAGACGCACGATTTGCCTCGAAGTTGCAAGACAATTTACAGAGACGCAACAATGGATCCGCAAGTAGCATCAAGAAGGAGGCTCGTGACAAGGGATGACAATGATGGCGATGCCGAAGATGCTTGTGGACGTGGATTAATAAAGGAAGGCCAAGCCGGGGGAACAATTAGATCGAGTTAACGGCCAACTTTAATCTTCTGTCGTCCGTCAGTCGTTTACTGCGTAGCGATCTGCCGCTATTAAAGCCGTTACACACTTCACCGTTTTCAAACCCCTCCCGTTCCCGCCTATCCACGAACATAGAAAGAATCTACGACTCGTGTGGTACATACATATACGCGAAGGCGGTATCAATGAGACGAACGAAGCGACAGGGAGATGTGGGTTTTCAAAAACGGATTTTTCATCCCGGTGTCACTAGCCATTTAAACCTAACTCTCAGCTGCCTTCTTCCAACCTAGATTTCTACAAAGATTCTACATCGTGTGAAACATAAAAAAGGAAAAATAAGAAAGAAACATGTGGACACATCGATTAAAATCTCTGACTGCAAGATGAAAGATGCAACGAACAGACGGTTCAGATTGGGCGAAATAAATCATCGATGTTGTTCGACCACCATCATAACGACACACGATTTTCAACAAGCCACTCTGATCTCCACGATCGATCAAACCTGTCTCGTACGATCGCCGTGTAATTTGTAATTAAACACAAATTTATCGATAAACGTCTGACTCTGCTTGTCTTATCTACTTTCGTCGAAACAATGGAATGACTAACAAGTTCCAAGTTCATAATTCCTTGTAATTTAAACAGTGGAGAAAATTTTCGTCGAAAATCTCCTCGAATCGATCGAAAGATCCGAGTGTTCAAGAACGTTGGAAGGAAGATCGGAAACTGTTTGGAGGAACATCCTGAAGACTGTGTCTCTAGGTGGACTATCAGAGAGTAATGAATGGCCACGTGCAGCAAGAAGGAGTCGGAAGAGAGGACAAGCTACATGCACGAGCGTTTAACATGACAAGATGTTACTAATTCAGGGTAGGTAGAACTGAGAGGCCGACCGTCGTACAAGTACAAAGGGGCCGACGGTCCGAATCCCTGTACTGCGCCTCTAATCTGCTCCAATTGGGACGGCAGGAGTTAGAAGGGCCGATGTCCCTCCGCGGTATGACGCGTGCTACCATTTATCCCAATCATCGGACGACCGGTCGTTCTTAACGATCGACAAATAAAAACTACTCGTCATCCGGGCTGAGGAGGAAGCCAAACGGGGCAACAGAGGCCGGCCATCTACACCTTCTTCAGAGGCGAACGTATTAAAACATCATTAGACAAGACGAATTTTTTCTCTCGTCATTTCTTCGTTTAATATCAACGTATCGCTTGCATCTCTTGTTTTCCCTTTCGAATTGGATTAAACCGCATTTCCGTTTGAATTATTTCATTCATGAAGTAGGTAATCGTTGTACGGTTTATTGTTGATTGCGACGCATGCGTTGCGAAATCAGGGAGCTATAAACTTCTTATCATTTTATCTCGGGACAGTGGTGATACCGTGCTAATTACCCTAAAATCGATCAGGTAGCTTTTACAACTTCTAATTCCTCGTGGATTAACGTTAGGTTACCGTGTAGACGTTTTAATTAGTCGCATGTCGGGTTATTCTTCTTAATTTTTACGTAGGAAATTATCGATGAAATTAGAGACGTACCTGAGTGACTTTTGGGCAGAGGTGGTAGATTCGTGATCTCGGTGGGATTTCCAAAAGGGGCCCAGAGTCTAGGGAACATTAGGCGAACGTTGCATCCTCCTGAAAGCAGAAGAATCGTCGTAAAATATAGCAGCTTCATAGAGACAGAGTTTTCTGAGTCAATGTTACGTGAAATCCTGAGTGAAAATATGAAGAAGGAGGAGGAAGAAGAAGAAGTGAGGGATCGAGCGTATATCTGAATCGGTTCATGCATCGTTATTCGCGTCGCCAGAGCAGCCGCTAACGGAGAACCGAGGTCTTCTGACAAATTTGGTATTCCCTGTTCGTACGAAAGATCAACCCCTCGACAAGAGCGTCTTTATTAGAAAGGAGGGAGACCCTTCTCTATTTATCAACCTTGCCCCGGCCATTACTCGCTCTCTTTTCTCCGTGGCTGCATTCCGATCCACGAACGTCCGCCATTCGTTTTCCCCGGCCTCTTTGATCGACAACTGGTAGCACCGTGGAATTCGAACTTTGCACCGAGGACTGCAATCACTCGCGTTATCGATTCAGAATAAAAAAAAAAAAAAAAAAAAAAAATTCGCCAATGTGTCTAAAGCGAAGCAAACCGTTTTTCTGCTTCCAATCAACGAACGGAAAAACAAACGGAGCTTGGAACGATAATTCTGCGAACTTCGCGACTGTTATCGAGATGAAAAATTCTGTCTCGTTGTTGCTAAGTTTCACGGTTAGTCACACGGAGGATCGGTACTGAAATCGATCATCGACACACAACCTATCAGGGACGTTCGAGGAAGAAGAAGAAAAATACGGAGAAGGAGAGAAAAGGGAAAAAAAGGAAAAAACAGCAAGAAAGAAGGAATGAAATCCGTAATCCGGGCAATATAGTACCGGTCGGGATAATCTGAGATAGCGGCGAGAGATTAGCGCGCCACGCCGCAAAGGCTATCTCATTCTCGCAGGATTATCAGAAATAAATCATATTTTCCTATAAAGCGAAGCAGACTACGCGTTCGAGATAAGATGACCAGGCGGTTAGGTGTACAACCAACATCGATACCGCATGTGTACACACGGTGCAGGTAATGCGTGTTCGTTGCCCGTGAGCATCGATATCGACGTTTGTTCGTTCGTGCGACGCTTATCCTGCATGTCTTTCGCGCTATCGTTTTCGCTCGTAAATCTATAAATGGGTAAATCCTACAGCGTGATTTTCGAAAGAAAATCTTAGAGGGGGGGGACAATTTACAGGGGCCACCTGCGTGGAAACATGTAGACACAGGATAACGAAGTGTGCGGGTTCTTGTTTGAATAAGGTGCAATCGATAGTCTAAGACGAATATCTGTTTGACGTCTAGTCCAGAGTGAACACTCTTCTACTGACCAGAAACGCGTAAAACGTATAAATAACAAAAGGAGTCTCCTTCGATTGTCTAAAGTACCCTGAGAACCGACATTTTCCAACGACTCACGCAGTGTCTTTTAATTAGAACCACTCTAAATTTCACGAAACGAAGTGCCCCAGCCTTCGTCATCGTGAATCATCCCTCAGAAGCCAAAACAAGACATCGCAACACCCTCAAGAATAGTCCCTCTCCTGCCTATCACCTGGCAATTATCTCATAAACCGTTTAGGTCGATTCCTACACGCTGTTGGGTTGATATTATTGCGTTAGCTATTAGCCTGATTAGCAGTATTAGTATAGGCACCGGTCTAATGCCACTTCATCCCCTCTCACCTGTTGAACGATCGTTCTTGTCTGCCCTTTACGCACCTGTACGCACCCACGCACGCACCTACACACACGGAGATCATTCCAACACGATACAGTTTCGATTGTGTTGGTCTACGTGCATTTCTCCACGCAGAACCAAACGGTGGTTCCTGGTGCAGAATGATCCGTGCACTGTGCGTGCACGCACACGACTGAAGTCACGCGGGGAGACAGCTCAGGTGTCGGGCGCGAATTCAAGGGCGTAAACGGCGCGGTGCAGGGATAATAGGCAGGTAATAGATAGCATGATGACAGGCGACAACGGGATGAATGTCAGGGGTGAGACGCGAATCCGCGTGAGGGATGCAGAAACGATCGGAGAGCGCGTTTCACGCGGTCGGGGGAAATGTTATCGCGTTATGTTCACGTTTCAACGTTTGATTTCGAAATCTGCAGGGTTGAAACCCTTTTTTTTTAGAGACTCTCTTTGGCGAGTAGATTTCGTTTGATTTGGAAGCACATCAGGCTAGAATTTTTTTGTCAAATTTCTTTCTTGACGTGAGAAGTAATTTTCTGTGATTTTATTTGATGCTGGAGTAAATTAGATCAAATCTTATTTTGCTTCATTTTTTTATTATTCAAGAGAGAATGTTCACGTTTCACGTTTGATTGGGAAATCTACAGAGTTGGAACCTTTTTTTAGAAATTTTCCTTATCGACGTGAGGAATGGTTTTAGCTTGATCGTAGTTCCATTTGATTCTGGATAGATTTTATTTAATTTTAGAGTACATCAAGCTGGAATCTTCTTAAAAACTTTCTTTCTTAAAATAAGGAGTAAGTAATTTCATTTGGTTCTGAAGTAAGCTAAAACTAATCCTACATTACCAATCAATTAGTAATTGTTCATTTCAAGATTATTCGACAAAATTCTCCTTATTCTCTGAAATTTTGTCGCAAAATGTACAACGTTCTAACCGTTTTCAAAGAATCTCGTTCTTTTAACGTACACTTTAATGTAAACATAATTCAATTTGACTGTGGGGTGAGCCGGAGCTAAACTCACGTCTAAAATCGATCGCTAATTGCACGCTTGTCGGTTGTTCATAGGGGATGACAGGCAACGGGTATGTTACAAAGCTAATGCGTCATTAGATAATATGAACGTCATTGAAATTCAAGTTTGATTGAGTGTAACGGTGACACAACTGCGATTTGAAACCGCATGATCATTCTAATTCAGTTTGATGTCAATTGCAATACACTTGCAGCAATCACGATTACGCTACTTCCTAACCAACTTACAAGCCTGAATATTACAAAAATGCAAATGGAAATCCCTCTGGTCGACGTACATCGCGAAAAGAAAGGGTTAAACTCGCCTGATAGAATTAAGATACTTCTACATAAATCTTACCTTCAGCCTCGACGGGAAGCTGCGGGCTCTCCTGGAGATTCTCGTTGTTGTTCGTCTCCGGCGACAAAGCCTGCTGATGCACCAAAGCCGAAGCGGTTTGTTTCGGTTTGACAACTCGAAAAGCGGACGCCTCCGCGACACCCCTGCGTGAAAAGTCCAGAGGACCCACCCCTACAGGCGAGTGTTGCTGCTGCACTTCCATCATCGTGCTCGAACAGTTCGATTCACTTAATCTTACAACAATCCTCCCTTCACTGTACACGACATCCGCTCCTCCCCGTTCAAGGAGCGTGTTACACCACCGCGGTGTCAGCAAACCATTCACCCTTATATATTTTTATATTATCTTCTTCCTAAGAACAACAATACACGTTGCTGACGTTGCTCGAATAATCCCTCTCACCGACACTTGTACTCTTCCTCTTCAACGATCTTCCCCGATAATCATCCCTTTCCATGAAGCTTACAGATATTCTCCACTCGTCCGTATACCACCCCCAAAAAATATATATACTCGTTCCAATACGGTCGGTAAACACGTTCGAGCAACTCTTGACCAGGCTTTTCCGGGTAAATATCGAAGACGATTATTCCTCCTGAAGGATGTTCGCTGGTGAACGATACACGTATCAAATGGAACGAGCTTCCGGATGTTGAGGACACTGATTTCCGTGCGGCCCATCGGCCGGACAGGTCAGGAACGGCGAGCACCGGCACCCGAGGATGTGAGAGACGTTATAGCGGGTGCCTCGACGCCGACTGCTGTTAACGGGTCTGATAGTGGAGGAACTCCCATGCGATGACGGACGAAAGTCGCGAGTTAGACTGAGAGAAAAAGGAGGGGGGAGAACGCACACGAGCCTGATCGTGAACAGCGGTCGGTGCTAGTGGGAGAGAGAGGCGACGAGACTTCGAGCAGGAACACCCACACAGATGTTGGATGCATGCCGGGATTTTCGATGGAGACTCCGCCTCCTAGGCACGCCTTCTTCGTCCCTACTCCACCCCCACGAAACCACTCACCATTGCCCTGATCACTCACACACACGCGACGCTTTGGATACCACGAGGCACACAAACGAAACCCGACGGATTCTCTCCCTCGGTGCTGATGCTACCGCACGCTACCAACACCGCACTAATACACCTTTACTTTTTCCTCGATGTGTTGGTATACGTAGCTGCGTGACCGATATGTTTATTCGTTTTCTAGATATTCGTGTGGGTGGTTACGTTCGCACGTGTGAGTTTCTAAAGGTGTACAGAGGCGAATGGACACGAGACACGGTGTGCAACGTTCTCTCACCTCCGGTTGCAGCATTATGTGGAACCACTCGGCCACCCTGATTCTACTCTTGACTCCACTGATTGATATTTGTGCGCGCCGCTCCTACACGCCCGGAAGTAAATGCACCAGACGCTCCATTTCCTCCTAGCTTTCCTACGTGTCCGCGTATTTGTATTTACCGGATTCTGGAGGGAACGAGAGTCCGCGATTGGGGAAGAGGAAATTTGTTTTCGGGGATGTTTTCAAGGGGTGAACATCGACAATTGGAGCAGATTGTCCGTTCTCGTTTTAGTCACGGATATTTTCCAATATTCCGTTGTTCCGCGGATAATACGGGAAATTTTGCTCGAAAGGTTTTCCCAACTATCTCACGACTGAATTGGTGTTTTAATGGATAGTAAATTGAAATCGATCTTTGCGGAAGTGTTCGAGTGAAAGATGGGTTAACTGCGGTATGAATGTAGTTATTTTTTTTTTCCTTTTGCATCGGTCATTATTTTTGCATCAGTATTATCGGTGCTTACGTTCATCAAGATGCAAGCACACGGAACTACGCCGTACGGTTGCATCAATCACACCGCATTAATTTCTCTGCGTTTTCGACTGACTCGATAAAAAAAGTAAACACACTAAGAACGGGATTATCGATGATTCCAGGATTTAAAACACTTGATTTTCTCTGGAAAAGTATTTGACGAAGTACGCAGTACTGATAACCAGCTCTTTTTCATTTTCGAGACACGTCGCCAAATATTCTTACAAAACTTTTTATCGAAATTTCGTCAAAATTGTGTCGTTTCCTGTTGGATCTAGGAACGATCAGACGCGATTCAGCGTAGCTTAAGCGATTACCACGTTCATTTATAATTGCACAACTGTTCAAGAAGCAGATTACAGGGCTGAGAATTTTCCACGCCAAATTGTTTTCTGCTGCAAATATCTAACTCAAATTTTTATAATGTCATCAAATACCAAATATTTGAACCCCCTTTCTTTGCACTTCATATATTTTCTATGTTGAAATTATAATTTCCCCAACCTTTAGGACACTTTTCTGATGATCTACACCTTAGCTGTAACATATCTGACGAATCACCGATGTAACATTGTCGCCAAAAAGGCAAGAAGCAGCACTCTTTCAACTATTCAGAAATTGTCGCACGTTGAAACGTTCGTTCGCGGCCAAGATATGCACCGTTAGAGTGAAAAAGAAGTGTCGTCAGGGGCGTAGGTAGTTGCAGGACGAGATGTTCGGTGTCAAGAGAGACCGACAAATCGCATCAATCATACTCACTCACTCGCGTCTCGTCGCGGTACATTCTCCCCGAAGCACTCGAGGGTGCTCCTGGGTTCGTTCTATCTTCCCTGAGAAAATTGCTTACTCTCTTACCGCGAAAATAGGAAAACTCTCGCCGGGCGCGAGGAGATCCTACGAACGAGCGGTGTCCTCTCGAGGAATCGGACGGAATCGAGGTGTGAGCGAGGGATGAAGACGTTTTGGGTGAAATTACGAATCTTAGGCGCCTCGATGGGTACAAAACCAAATAATTTCTCTAAGATCATCCGCTAAAATTAGCCATTTAAAAAATATCCGAGAAAAGAAATCGGTTCCTTGAAATTTAAAAATAATTTCTAAAAAGAAGAAATCACTTGCTTCAAATGTAAAAGAAAATTTACGTAAAATAGAAGGGGGGAATTGGGACAATTTTTATCGACAGTGAAAAATTGTAGACGGCGAAAGAAAAATGATCGAAAGTATTAAACGTGTATTATTCAGAAATGTATTATAGCTATAAGATCGAATCAAGTACCGATCGTTTTCAAGATACTTTATCGGTTTTCTTATTCATCGGTTCGCTTCACACACAGCACTCATCCGAACCTGCCCACGTTTGTTTGTACAAGTATATACCGGACGTGATTTACAGGCTGTAAGATAACTTAATCCGTCAGCACACAAATGGACATCCACGAGCGTCGAGGCGAGCTTTAAGTATGCTTCACACTGTCTCGCGTCTTCTTCTTGTCGAATCGCGACGAGTATTGTTTCTAGACGCGCAACCTTGAATCCGTCCAACTAAATCATATCCACTTGGAAACTACATAAACGTTGCATATATGGAAACGATTAGAATGGGGGATAAACAGACCTGTGGATTAAATTTGTATCAACGTGTAGCCATTATCAATTTTATACACTGTGCTTTATCTCAGTGATTAACTTGCATCGATGCAATAAAAACCTTTAACGACGTCGGTGAAAATTTCTAATAAAATCACCTTCCTACATAAGTGCATTACTTCTCACAAATATTTGCCCAGTTTTCTTCATTTACAAACACGATAAATTTAGGAAAAAATTATTTTTTTCCAGTAAGAACCACAAAATAAGTTAAATCGTTGATTTCTTCCTTGGAAACTGATAAAACGAAGAACACTGTGAATGAACGACTGGTAAAATATTTATGAATGATAATGTATATTTTTACTGCAAAATAATCTATCAAAAAAAATTATCTTATCGCACGATGATTAGATATTCTTTTTCTTTTTTTTTCGAAGATTCCGAAACACCAATTTCGAATATTTTTCAGCGGACAAATCGCGTATCTACCTTGACAAAGTAGTTCAATGCGCCGGATACAGGGGACGAGTGGCTGGCGCCACGAATTTAACACTTGATTGTCCCGTCGAACAATTGTTTCGCCGGTATTATAGCAGCCTCGCGCTCGTGTCTCTCCTCTCTCTTGAGAGAGACGGTCGAGACGAATGAGAGGACGTTACCGAATGACTCACTCCTCAATCGAGGAGAAAACATATTAGCGATTGTCTTTACCAATTGGGGGATGTGGGTGATGGTTATCGCCGGCAGAAAACGATACGTGAAACACACGTCTACACGCGGTGAACAATAATTCGTGATATTACTCGTTCGTAAAATAAGCGACACGCTGGCATGTGGGCAGACCTGAACACACAACTCGCGCACATACACACACGCCCGTTGGTTTAGGTATGAAAACGCAGATGGACCCCTGCGGGTAGGCGAACGATCGTTTTACAGTAACCGTTCGCTATCTGGAAACAGATACGTCGTAATTGGAAGAAATTGGCCTAATTGAAACCGATTAATCCGGATCTTGATGAATCCTGCGCGCGTGGATCGAACGATCGGTGATTTCGTTCGATCAGATCCTGCTTTCAATATTTTCCAACAAAAGAGAAACGATAATTAAAACACCTACATTAAACATCATCTCTGCTATATTAATTTCTTCACTCTAATTTAATATCGAAGTTAAATGATTTGCAATAATTACAAGAGAAAAAACAATATGCAAAGAGTCACGTGAAAGTACGTGAACAATGAGACAAGGAATTTGCGTCTGAATGGTGAAAGCTTCGTAGATCATCGGATTAATTTAGACAACGATGTCGAAATTGTTAATTGGTGTTGGTCGATCGAAGCTGCATAACGCGTCGGAATAATGTCAACAACATTACAAGTGCATTAGCTCACTCGATGCTTCGTCGAATCGCTGTCCCTTATCTAATCTTCGAGCGTGAACGGTGAAACGAGCGCGATTTAAATCCGCGAAGATCGATGGATCCTCGACGTCGAGCACTCTCGCAGACGAGCCGTGCACGGGGATCAATTAAACGACCGGAGTCATTGATCACGGCAAGGCCGCTGTTCCGTTCCGCCAGACGAAAACACAGTCTGGCCGTGGAGCTTTCGCGAGAATCGAGCTTTTCACTCGTGCACAGCAGAGAACGATGTTCGCCGGCAGCGTCATCGTCGAAAAGAGGGATATCGGACTCGCGATACGCTACCAAAAATCATTATCTCCCCGCTGGGTTAACTGTAACGCATAAACAAATCGTTGTTCCGCTCGATCGAGGATTTTTCGTCGCTA